ATTTGACATTGAAGTGGTGGAGTGATCGACCGAGTAAAATAAGCTCTCTCGCGAGCTCACGACATCATCGAAATCGTGAACATTGATCGCAGGCACACCCCGAGGTTGTATAGGTTTGAAATTACCATCATCATCGATCATGATATTATTTAATCGTAGAGGGGTAGGTTCAGAGGGACGCCTTTGATGATCGATGTGACCTTTACCACTTTCTAAATCCACCGCATTTAAAGATCTGGAACCACGTCTTGTAGTGGGAGTCAAGGAATTCGAACTCGCATCAAAAGAACTCAGAGATGGGGGTGAATTGTGATGGTGAACAACATCTTCCTTTCTACTAGTATGATTTCGATTAATTTTTTTTTTAGGGAATAGCTTTGTTGTTTTAACAACTACTGGTATCAAACCGGGAGCGGCCCTCGAAATAAAATAACCAAGAGCGGTGCCAGTTTTGTTATGTACGGTGACCGCTAGTGATTTACTCGACGACTCAATATTATTGTTGTCGTTGTCGTTGTCGTTATCGTTGCTGTTGTTGTCGTTGTTGGTTGATACCGATTTTTTTTGTTTTGATTCTTTGGCCTTTTTATGGAATTTACTAAACATTATAAAGAAGTAATATTATATGCTCATGAAAAAAAACACGTCTTTACTTTTTTTTTTTTATTTTAATGTATTCCAGTATGTTAAAATAAATACAGATATAGAATGTAATATGTTGTTGTTGTTATTGTTGTTGTTGTTGTTGTATTAATGAAAATAAATCGTCTAAAGAGAAAACACGACACTGTCATTAAACAGGCAGGGAATAAATAGTAAAGGGAACGGTTTTTTTTTAAAAAAAAAATAAATGCTTTATATTATTAAGTTCGAACCTTTTTGTTATAATGAAATTAAATAAATCTTTATACACCATCCAGACGCATAGAAGTTTTTCCGAGATGTGAACGGAAAAAGGAGGGAATTAAAAAAAAGAAAAAGAAAAAAAAGTGAGGGAAGAGAGAAAAAAAGAAGAGGGAAAAAAAAAAAAAAAAAAAAAAAAAAAAAATTAACTAGGTGAAAAAAGAAAATTTTGTGGAGAAAATAAACAAGTCAAAA